TACTGTTTCTTTAACTTTATCGAGCAGGGAATTCTTTGCGCCATTTAAATACTTGTGTTCGTCACACAGTAGATTCCCGAAAACAATTTTGACATATATAATAACAAATTTTAAATATTATTATATTTCGTAGCCGTGATTCTATTAGAAATACAAGCGAGCTCATTGTTCACTTTAGTAAAGAGTCAATATCTCGTAACGCAAATTGACTAAAAGTGTTGCCAGAAGAAAGCAATTTCACTACTACTCACATGTCCCGCATTGGCAAGAGGACACTGTAAGCATCTGGGGTCTCGATACACTGGAGGAGGTATCGACAATGAAGCCGCAAAGTCTGTTACAATTCGCGTCAAACGCAGGCATCCTAAACGATGGCTAAGTACTCCTCTTAGACTTAGCAAGTGAACTCCAGCCGGTATCGCAAAGGACCAAACTGATTTATGCGTGGCATATTGACCCACCAGATTAACCTAACCTATATTTAATACCGCTTACTTTTAAAATAGCATATTTTTTTTTATAAAATGTGTGATTTGCATTCACCAATATAATATGGTTGTATGTACATACATACATACATATGTGTATGTTGGAAGGTCAGGTAATTAATCGAAAGCGCATGCGCAAAAGACAAGGTTAGAGCGCAATCAGACACTGTATACACCCAGCGACAATTAGTAGGTGACTAATTGGGTTTACTGTTTGGCGACCTGAATGTAGTAAATCGCGATATTTCGTTAGCTGTTCAAAGGTATCTAAGTACTAAATGGTTGTGACACTATACTGCGGATTAACGTAAAAATCAAAATAAATGTTCTCATGCTATTCACTCTGGTCGGCTCACCTTGTGTACTATGTTGAAGAGTAGTATAAAAATACACCAAACCGCTTGGCGACCTATCAGTTGAATGTGTCTGTTAACATTTTCGGTTACCAACCGCTACTTTGGGGTTAAAGCATTCAGTTTTAAGTTTAGATGGGTGTGTATATACATATGTATGTTTGTATGTATGTATGAAAATTTCAATTCGTATCTAATGTCCAATTATTCATAAGTTTTTTTTTTTCGCTTTCAGTCAATGTCATGCAACGTCTAAAACTAGCAACAAAAGAACACGATTTTTTTTTTGTTAAATGTACAATAAAAATCAGAATTACAAAATTGAGTTAGAGACGGAAGCTTAAGGGTTTGTAGATTAAAAAAAAAATATTTTTAGTTTCA